AGAGAGAGAGAGAGAGAGAGAGAGAGAGAGAGAGAGAGAGAGAGAGAGAGAGGAAGGGAGAGATTATACAGTCAGCGTACACGGTACGGCCCGCGTAAAGACAGACAGACGTACGCGCGAGTAAGTGGGTTATGAGTGCATTCCGTAGATTCCATGCGCCGAGACGCCCCGGCCGACGACTTACCGACCAGCATCATTCTTGTTCGTATATGTAGCTGCTGTCTTTGTGTGTGCGGATTTACTACTCGAAGTGTGAACCCACATTCTACGACGTCTCTTTTATTTACATCTGTGTGTATTTTTACGTCTATGTCTGTGTCCTCGTCTATCTAATGTAATAATACACACGTGCGCGCGCATGCAACCACACACACGCACACGTAAGCGTGCAAGCACGCGCACGCACACGCCGCACACACGCTTGTACACTCTACGTAAGTCTAAAGAATGACAAAAGCAGAAGACGCATCACGCAACGTGAGTGATGCAGACAGGCAGATCTACAGCATCGTGGCATCGCAGTGCTGTGCGCGAGGCTACACACACTTACAGCTAACCCCCCCCCCCCCCCCTTCCCCACCGCTCTACGCTTTCACAGAAAGCAAGCGCGTATCCGAAACAGAGTCCGCAAAAAACAAGTGTTTGCTTCCTCCTCGTCCTTCCCTTCCTTCTTCCCCACACACGCGTATCGCTGGCTATTAACAGTAGATATGCTCTAACCGGAAGTCCCGTGGCTCCCGCGATGTGACCCACGTGCCAAACAGACAGAATCCGCATCGGATTCATGTTTACTACCGGCAGTAGGCTACTGCGGAAATGCGTGCAATTAGGCGCTTACGGATGATTAGGGTTGTGTCGAACAAAGCATCGCTAGAGAACATGAACATATCACGCATCGGAAGGGGAAATGGCAATACACATATCATTAGAATCATATATCAACGCGCGCTATAATGAATGTACTCCTTGTCGTATTTCCATTTCTAAAATAAAAGTTGCACTTTCGGATTTTCCTCGCTTGATTTGGCACCGTCATGAGGTTCGGTAGAGGAATGTAAGCAGACCTCACCTCACGCACCATTTCACACAATAATAAAGCAGAGCATAACTGAGATACCTGGCCGGCCATAATTACTATTTACTTTTTTCCATTAGTAATCGAGATGACCCAAAACTAACCATTCACACACCGCTTCACACCGCTGTAATGGGGGCAGGATGAGAGAGAGAGAGAGAGAGAGAGAGAGAGAGTGTGTGTGTAGAGAGAGAGAGAGAGAGAGAGAGAGAGAGAGAGAGAGAGAGAGAGAGAGAGAGAGAGAGAGAGAGAGAGAGAGAGAAGAGAGAGAGAGAGAGAGAGAGAGAGAGAGAGAGAGAG